TGATGCTGCTTGGAATCTGTGTATTTCCCCTGATCTTCACCATCCTACTGTAGAGTTCCCTCTATAGCTGCATCGTCAGGTGACTGTTACTCTTTAGAACATTCCCCTAATCTCTCTTTAGCCAGTTAGCAAGTGCTTCAGACTCTTAAGAGGAGAGAATGTGAAGCCCAAACTCCTCCCTGCCACTCTTTGCTTCCCTGGGACATTCTTATTTTGGAGGGTGACTGGAGGTCTGGTGGGTGCTTATGGTCACCTGGGAAGGCCAGCCTAGAAGGGCAGTGATGTCACAGGGGGTCTGGGAACAGCTGGGCTCACCACCAGTGTTACTCAGAATGTCCCAGAGCTCTGAGTTTAGAGTACAGAAGGACTCTGCAGACAAAGCGGAGAAAATCCTTGCTGGCCTTGAATTATCTTTTCTGACCAGGTGCTCTCTGGGTTGGCTTCTGTCAAAATGTGGACTATCTCAGCCTGAAAATAATGCTAGTCATAGCAGAGCTAGCCTATGCAGGCGTAAAAACATCGCTAGAACTTTGAGCTTGTTTTCCATCAAAATACTTGACTAGATAATTTTGATTTGAGACTTTGAGTGGCGTATGCTTTTTCTTTTCTGTGATCACCTCGTTGACATGCTTCAGTTTGACTTCTACGACAATGAGGTTTTATAGGTCAAAGTAGTTGACTGTGCACAGTTCCGCCCCCTTCAGACATCTAATAGAAGTGCATGCTGAATTTTCTTGGTGCCATGGTAAGCAATAGACAGGGAGGCGGGAAAGACCTGCATTGGCTTGGACCTGCAACACGCTCCTGAATAAGCTGCAGCCAAACAGCGCAGGGTGCATGTGGGGCTGCCTTTTCTCCGCCCGTGGCGACCCCAGTGTGTTGCGTTTCAAGGAACAGAGACGGCCCAGCCCGCCCAGAGGCCGGGCTCCTGCTGCTCACTTACAGGCGCAAGGGCCCACGAGGACAAGGGCAGGGAGCTGGTTTCAGGCCCGCCATGTCCGGGGAGCACGTCGGGTGCTCTGCAGCCAGACGCCCCGTGACGTCTCGGCCCACTCGGTACTGCAGTTGATCGTCTTAATTAGAGAAGCATTTGGTAGACTGCTACTCCCAGCAGCTGTCAGGGAGCCGGCATTTACATTCCCAGAGAAGGACTGTGGGGCCGAAGGACGTGCGAAGGGAAAGTGAAAATACAGTTGTGCAGAGCGACGCCAAACTGGGGTCCGCTCTGGGGTCCTCACTGCTGCGGGGGCCACAAACCCTTCTGGGTCGGGCAGCTCCCCGGGGCCATGCCGGCTCCCCACTGGGCTTTGTTTGAAGGGAGTTGCAACAGGTGCTGTTGTGCAAAAGGAATCTGAGGGTAGCAGGGCGGGGGTGGGGGGGCCCCACCAAGTCGCTGCGGGGTGGCCGGCGAGCCTGCGGGAGCGCGGGCGGGTGCTCAGCCCCTGTCTTGTCTCTGCCCCAGGCTCCACCCTGCAGTCCATCATCTGCTCCAACGACGCTCTCTTCTACTTCGTCTTCTTCTACCCCTTCCCCATCTTCGGCATCCTCATCATCACCATCCTGCTGGTGCGCTTCAAGAGCCGCAACTCCAGCAAGAACTCCGACGGCAAGAACGGGGTGCCCCTGCTATGGATCAAGGAGCCCCACCTCAACTACTCGCCCACCTGCCTGGAGCCGCCCGTGCTCAGCATCCACCCCGGGGCCATAGACTAGGGCCGGGCGGAGCCGGCCTGGCAGGCCGAGAGTCTCCTTTGCCGCCTCCTGCTCCGTGGTGTGGCAGCACCCCCCTGGGGCGCTCGGAGGGTGGCGGCCCCGAGGCGGATTCCCGGGTCCCAGAGGCAGCCTGCTGGGGCGATCTCGGGGCTGTTTCCCAGGAGACGCTGTCATCTGCAGAATTAGGTTTTCGGTTTTGTTTGTGGTGTTGTAGTGAGTAGCTCCAGGTGCCGCGTCTACTCACTGCTCTCGAGTGTCCTCAGGTCGGTGTGACGGGGGCCCCTATTCTTTGTCATGGACTTTTTCCATCCCCTCGGTTTTCCCTTTTTGGATTCCGCCATGTTGAGGAAGAACTGACGGCAAAAGGAAGGACGAACTCGGTGACGCGAAGGGCTGTCTCCCGAGCCGCTTTGTTGTTACACTTGAAAATGCCACCGTGGATCAAAATACATGCAAACATTTTTTACTTTCTTAGCAAGACTTGGAAATCGCGGGCAGCGTGGGCCCGTTTTGTATCTTATCTTTCCCCTCAGCTGGAGTTGTTGGAACCACTTCTCAGTCAGAAATGAAGAGCGGAATGCCGCTTCCGAGAGCTGTGTGTGTCCAAGAGAAAGCCTGCACCCCCTTCCCTCCGAGTAGGTGGTGCCCAGCCAGCCCGTCTGTCAGGCGGCCCAGAAGAGGCAGCATCTCAGCTTTGCCAAAAAAAAGAAAAAAGAAGAAAACTTTCTTGGAGAACAAGTCCAAACCACAGGCAGCACCCGCTTTCCCGGCGGCAGCGGGCAGAGAGCCGCCTGCAGCAGCGAGGGCTCCCAGCGAGCCCGAGCCAGTCCCCAGCGCCGGGAGCTGGCGGCCTCTGCGCACACAGCCCCCCAGGGCTCTAAGCCGTGGGCATCTATTTTAAGGTGCTTTTGCAAACTCTGAAGGTTAAGGGGCCACGGGCTGCAAGGGGGACTTCCCGGAGCTGACCACGGGGCCCACGCAGCCACCGTGCAGGCAAACGGCCCTGGATGCCCTGAAGGCGGCCCGGGCTGGCCGACATCTGTGGCAGCCGGTTGGGGTCGTCTCCAGCGCCTGGTGATGCGGGGGAGGGGAATAGCCACGTCCCGGGACGTATGAAAAGTGGGTTTTTCTTCTTCCAGTTTGTTCCCTTAAAGACGCCGACGTCTGTTTTAGTCCCCCTCCCCCCACCCCCACCACACTGCCGTGGGACAGGAGCCTGGGATGTGGGGGCGGCCTGGGCCCTTCCGGCTTCCCCCCTCTCCGAGGAAACCAGCACACGCCTGCATTTCACACCTTTCCCTCTCTTGCATCTCGCTGGGGACATGAGTGCCCATTGTTAGGGTTTTTTAAGATTTTGACCCCATTTACAGCCCGGCAAGGCAAGGGTCGGCGTCCCCTCTTATCTTACACGAGTTTGCCCCCACGGAGATAGGAGATGTCGGCTTCCCCTGTTTTGCTGGTGAAGAGTGCCATCACCCTTCCTCTGGGAACGTGCATCTGGAATCCCCAGGGAAACAACCACCGGGGATTCTGGAACTTAATGGACGGCGAGATGGCAGCGAAACCTGGTTCTGAGACTGAACGGCCTGGGGTGGGGGCTGTGGGGTCCCCAGACCGAGCGCTCTGCCGGGCCCTGGGGGGTCCGCAGGTGCTGGGGGCACAGTGGGGGCTTTTTGGCACCTGCCAGGAAGCAGTCGCGGGCCACTGCAGGAAACCTGCCTCCTTTCCCTCCCAGGTAGCCAGGATGCTCTTTACAGACAGCTCAGCTCAGCCTGCACCCCCCCCTCCCCGCCCCGGCCTCCACGCTCATCCCCATTGATGATGCTACATCGACACTTTCGAGGTGCAGAATCAGCTCAGTGGTGCGGACGGAGGCACTCTTCTCCCCACTTGGGGTGGAGATCTCCTCCCGACTTCGAAACTGAGTCAGTGAGGGAAGATGACCAACTTTTCCTTTGACTGGAAAGGTGCCAGAGGCTGCCTGGGACTGGAGTGTGACAGGCTTGAGTTTACATTGGTTCACAGCTGTAGAAAAGTAGGTGCTGCAGGTAATTGAATACGTGAAGCAGTTGCAGGAAATTTGAAAGAAAAAAAGAAACCGGAGCCAGTATTTTAATAATTTTCTTTCTTCCCGTGCATTTTCTATTGGCCTGGGGGATCCCTTCCAAAGGTGAGCTTTTCCAAGCTTTCTATGAAGATCCCCAGGCCCTGCTTGCTTTGGCCATTTCTATGGAAATGTGGTGTCTGAGGAGCGGTGATGGCGCCCTCCAGCGGCCGCGAGGCCTCACTGCACGTGGCTTGGCTCGAAAGGTCTGGGACCCAGAGAAACTCTGCGCCTCTCGCCACGGGTCTGCGTCCAGCTGATGCATTTATGAAAAGCCACACTGTGCGAGGCCCATTCCAGGACACGGAGATGACCACACCCTCTTTCACCAGGGGGTTTCTGTAACAGATTTTCATATTCTTTTCCAACAATGGTTTCTCTGCGTTGTTAAAGGCAAAAAAAAGGCGGGGTAAGAAAACTATCCATGCATGATGTAGAGAGCTGTTGATTTGTTTTTGTTTGATTTTTTTTTTTAAGGAACACTATTTGTAAGATGTTGCACTAAAATGTTTTATATACATTTCAGAGACCTGTAGTAAATTATGTTGAAAATATGGTTGTTTGCATTCACTGGAGTCCGCGGGCCTTCCTCCCCCTGCTCTCTGGGACAATGCCCTGGGGGGGGCTGAAGATATGCCCCCCAGACTAAGTGGTGCCTTCATACAAACGACACAACGCACTCCTTCCGGACACACTGCCACCTGCTGGAAGGCCTAAATAGGCACACTTGCTCAGAGAGCGGTGCAGAATGTGGGGCTTATAAACTCTAGCTTCCTTTTTCTCTGGGGGTGGGGTGAGAGGAAGCTGATGGAGAAGGGGAGTGGAAACATGGAGGGCCAGCTTTTCCCCGGCCGCCAAGGGCCGCTGCAGCAAGACCGGGGCATGTCCCGCAGGGCGGGCGGTGGTGTCCTGGCCGTGAAGGCTTTCAGGATGGAGGAGAGGGAGCCCTGGCCCCTCTTCTGTGCACAGCACAAAGGTGGGGTGTTATGGGGTCCATCTCTGTCTGGCCCCACACAGCCCAAAGCTGGGGTGTTATGGGGTCCATTCCTTCTGCAGGTTGAGAACGACAGAATGACGAAAGCACAGCAGTGATCCGTGGTAAGTGAGCACCCATCTGGAGTTCTTTGAAACCCACAGGAAAATGAGCCAGGGCACGAGACAGAGCGAGCAGCTGGGAGAAGTGCTTCCTTCTGCTTTTCTTCCTTTTAGAAACCTAAGCCTCCCGGGGCGGCAATGCCGGCTTTCCTCGGTGCCCCAGCGTCCAGCTGCCTCCTTATCAATGCCTTGCAGCTGCAGGTTTGGCCAAGGGCTGGAGTGGCACTGTCAGTCCCTTGGGTACCCGGAATCGGTCCTCGTCAAGCTTTTTGTGTTCTTTTGCCTGTTTTTCCTCAAATGCGCTCTGCCGGAAAACTTAAAAAATGGAACAAGAGTATGATGAAATCAGCTTGCTCCTCTGGACCAGCGGAGATCTGGACCAGTGTTGACACAGACCCAGGGACGTCCCCTCCGGCGCTGGGCAGATGAGAGGCAGCGCTCCGGGCACTAAGTGCTGGACTCCCATCTGGGCTCTGGGGGGGACCAGACCCAGGGGGATGGGCTGGAGGAGCCGCAGCCCCCGCGGGGGAGCAGCTGAGGAAGCCTCTTGCTTACCTCCTGACCCCTGCAATGACAAGCCCATAAAACTGGGTCTTACCGGTTGCAAAATAAAAAACACTGGGCGACTTTTGGGTGGTCAGTGCTGGGGGCGGGGAACACAAGCCTCTGCCCAGCCCCTGACAGAGACCCCAGGCCTGGGGTCTCCTGCAGTCTGCCAGGCCTGGCGCATGAGGGCCCTGTAAACAAGTTTCTCTTAATGAAGGTGCTGGCAGGCTCCTTGGTTAGAGGCTCCAGGAATGAGTCATTCCTCAGCTCACATACTGAGGCGATGACCAAGGAGCTACTTCCTGCCCCAGGAACTTGGGCGTTGCCCTTCAGCTCTACTTCCAGAGGGCTGACTGCTGCTGGTCCCACAGTTGTGCTTCCCAGGTCAAAGGTGAATGTGAGGCCAAGAACTTGGCACCGGTTGGACTCAGCTCTGCTCCTCACTGGCTGTGTCCTGGGGCCGGGACTTCCCTGAGCCTCAGTTTCCTCATATGTACACACAGGGGCAGTGGTGAAATCCTGTTAATCCAGGGGCGCAGGAACCGCGGGGCCTGGGCAGGATCAGGCTCCTGTGTGATGCTCCACGCTCAGCCCGGAGACTCGGGGGTCAGACACAGCCCCCCACGGTCCTGCCAGCCCCGGGCAGGGGGACCTGAGTTCCTCACCTTGCGGGTAAACGCTACACTCAACAGGTGCCCCAATACCTGCAGGTGGTGGGGGTGTCTTGGGGTCACGTGCTTTCGGATAAAGGACTTTGGCCCCTGACATTCCACCCAGAAAGATGTCTTCGAAGACTTCAGCTCATTTAGGAAGTAATATGTGAGTTTTTAAAGTGTAGGTCAAGTGGGCCCTCTCTGGTGGCGCCCCGGGTTGAAGCACAGCACTGCAAAACAGGCCGTGGCTGTGTCAGCAGTTCAATCTCCTCAGCAGTGGACTTCATCCACCTGCCTGTTCTGCTCCCACTCTGTCTCTGGTGACTCCTCTCACCGCCCCTGCACCTCAGGCCTGCACCCCAGTTCTATATGCATAAATAAATAAATCTTAAAAAAAAAAGTAAGGTCAAGTGACTCAGCTGGATGTGGGGTCGCAGTAGGGATGATGGAGCCGAGAGCCGCAATAAACCGCATGTCCACCTGCATCACGGCTGGCACCTGGTGGCTCGTGTGGGTTGGGGGGTCCTGTCAGGGCAAGCGTTGTCTTTTTTTAAAGATTTACTCATGCCTAGAAGAACTGGGGTGTAGGCCAGAGGCGGGGGATCACAGGATTTACCAGAGACAGGGTGGGGAGCACACCAGGTAGAGCCACAGAAACACACTGCTGAGGGAGCAGCAGGGACTCAGGTCAGCCTGCTGCACCCCGGGGCCACCCCCTGCGGGATGGACTCTGCCGCAGTGGCTGCTGAGGCCTCAGCTGGGCTGGCAGCTCTGGGCTTCTCTGAGGGGAAAGGGCCCTTTCTGGGGGTCATTTGGGCTGGGCCCTTGGGGCTTGCGGGGGGTGGAGGGCAGCAGGTGCAAACACTGATCAGCCAGATGGGGGTTCTGGGTCCTAGGGGGCGGGCTGCTGCTTCCAGAAACTGGAGTGAGGGAAACCATCAAACCATCCAGGAGACAGAAGAGGAACAAAGGACACTAGAGCCTGTGATCCCACAGGCTGGAATTCGGGTTCCTGCCAAAGGGAGGGGGCTGGGTCGAGTAAGGAAAAGCACGTGCCAGCACCAGGCTCTCCCAACCCCCAGGGCTGGTCTGAAATGTCTAACACCCAGGCGGAGTGGCCGAGAGACCGGAGGGGGTCCCCCTCCCTGAGTAAGAGGAAGCAACAGCCTCGAGCTCGCTCGCGGTTATTAGAAAGTGCGAGTTAAAAGTGCCGGGTCTCCCTGTCGCCTTTACTGTCCCCGGGACTGGGGCTTGGCTTTTGGGGCGTGACAGCCCACCTCAGCGCCTGTCACCCCACAAGTCCTAAATACTAAGGAAATGTGGCGGCAGTGGGGTGGGGCATGTCCAGAGACCCGGCTGGGCAGCACACGTGGGGCGGGCGGTCCTGCCCAGGAAGTGACACCAGGAAGAGGCAGCCCTAGCCCCGGCCCGGGGACAGCGGAGCCGCGCGCGCGCCAAACTGGGAGGCAGAGAGGCGGGTCGCGCTGGCCCGCGCGGCGGAGGAAGCGCTCGCAGCTGCCCACCCTCGCTCAAGCCGGCTGCTCTGCAGTCGCAGCTTCCTCCATGTGGCTCCTCGGGCTGCTTTTGCTGGGTGAGTGGAGGCCTCCCTGGCCCGGGCGGGGACTGGGGTGCCCAGCGCCCCGGGCAGAGATTGGGGACGTCGGGCTGGACGGGACTCTGAGCCCCGTTCTGGTGCTGGGTGGGGCGGAAGCCTCGTGGGGAGCCGGTTGCCCCACGGAAAGTGTGGTCGCTTCATCCCTCCCTTGGGGTCCGGGAAGAAACGTGAACCTTGAGGAATGTGGGTTTTGAGGGGCAGGAGTGGGCGGGGCCCCCCCAACTCCCGGCTGCCCTGATTTCTCTCTCCCCGCCCGCCGGCCATGATCCCCCCTCCCCCACCCAACCAGCGCCCCAAGAAGGTCCCTCTGCTGGGAAATTCATGTGCCTGGTCAGTGACTTTTCCCGCCTTCCAGGTACCGCGGCCGTGACCCTGGTCGGCCCGAAGCCGCTGGGCAGCCGGTGAACTCGCTGAGCGCTGTGGGGTCCCGGGCTATGGGCTGGGCGTGGATCCCTGGCCGGTGCGGGCACCGGGCAGCCTTTGCCCTGGGCCAGCTTTGCTGGTATGTGGGAAGTCACCTCCGAGCCCCAGAGGCCAGCCCCAAAGAGGAGTAAGGAGGGTCAGAACAGTGAGCTACCGGTGCCTAAGCCGGCGGTGGCTGCGCCCCGTCCGGTCCCTCTGCCTTAAAGGGTCAACCCCTGCGTGTGCGGAACCCGCTGGTCCCCTTCAAGCTAAAGGAAATTAGCATGTTGGCCCCTGGTGTGGGTGCCTGCTGTGGTTTTACCTCTTTGACTCACCCAAACTCCTCTGGTTTGGAGACAGGGCACATCAAAACTCCCAACCCCCACCCCACTGGCCCCAAGCACGTGCTCGCCCCATTAACTAAGTCTTGGGGGGGGTGGGGGGCGGGGCTGTTTGGGCGGCTCCGCCCTGAGCCCACTGCACAAACTGTGTGATAGGCTCCGCCTCAGTCCTCCGCCCTCCCCAGTCACTGCTCCGCCCTCCCCAGTCACTGCTCCGCCCTCCCCAGTCGCTGCTCCGGGCTCTCTCCCAGGTGTACGACCTGGGTGTGGTTTTGAAGGCTCTAAGTTCCCTGGGTGCCTGGTACAGAGGTGTGGGAAAAGGTCGCCTTGCCCGAGGGGAGGAAAACCCTGGCTCTTGTGAAACCCAGAATCTTCTCAAAGCAAAGGCTTTGGGGTTCCATGGGGATCTGGACCTGGCCTTCCAGAAGAGTGGGTGACCCTGCCGTGATGGGGAAGGGGTCCCGGGAGGGGAGCCAGTAAGAAAGCCTGAGAGCCAGAGTCCTGGGACCCTGGGCAGGGAACAGCCACTGCTTCTCCCTGCGCCCAGGTGCTCTGGGCTCACTTCCAGGTGGACCAGAGTTTCCAGTGCTCATCAGCCAGAGAAAAGCATCATCATGTCTACTAAAGATTCATAGAACTGTTACAGGGCAGGGAGAGGGGCACCCCTGAACCCCCAAACCTGCCTGCTCTAAATAGGCTCTGCCATCTGCCGCATCAAGACAAAACATATAAAACTTCAATGAAAAGGAACTTTAATGCGGTGAGTATACAACGTGGAAGGCAAAGAATATAATTTCTACATCAAACACCTGAAGTAACCCAGCCCCTCGTGGGCAAAAGTCCACTCAAAGGGACTGGCCCAGAGCAAGGCCTGAAAGCGGCCACAAGCCTAAAGCACCTTC